ACATTAGTAAAACAGACTAACTGATCTGTGATAGATATAGATTTGTTACACACATCAACTCCTTTTTAAGAAATTTTATCACTATAATAGTTTCTTATTAGATCTCTATCGGAAGATAGTTTAGCCATAAAGTGGTTTTAACATATCATTAGTTTACTAGCTTTTCATTGTTTTTCTTCTAATCAGATGTACTTATATAGTAAAACTTCACTAATAAACTTGGTCAAGTCAATTTAAAAAAAAATTTTTAAATTTTCTATTTATTAATATTATTGTCAATAGTTTGTTATTATAAATTATTTCAAAAAATAATAAATTATTGAATTGATATATTAAAAAAAAAGAAAAAAAATAAATACTTTAAAATTTTTATTCAAGTTAACAATTTTTTTTAAAAAAAAAATCTATTAAATTAAAAGATTTTTTAACTTCAAATTATTTAAAAAATTTAATTATTTTTAAGTAACAGAAATTTTTTAAGAATATATATATATATATATTTTTGAAGCAGCTCAATCTCCAGTTGGCTTTTATTAACTTTAAATTTGGTATTATATTCATATTATCTACTTTGAGCTAATTACAAATTAAAACAATACTAATATATATGTTGAAAATTATATATAAAGATTCCTTCCAGTCAGATTTCCTATAAGGACCTATATGGTCTATTGCCTTCTATAAAGGAAACTAACTTACCTGGGCTAAGTTAGTAATCATATTTCTTCTAAATGTCATCAAGAAAATAATAATAAAAAAAATATACCAAAGGGCTGCTAGATAATGATCTAAATTTTCACAACTACCGACTATCCACTAAGACTTCTATCAAAAAGGATGCCAATATCTACAAATTATCTATCAGAGTACTGTATCCAAATCTTTGAAAGGGAGAGAGGGGGGATTTCTTTTTCTAAGAGGAGAAAGGAATAGTTTCAGAGCTCCATCCAATGCTCTGTCTAGGGGATTACTTATTCAAAGAACTAGATGGAACCTATGACTAGGAGAATACCTTAAAACCTATGAGGAGTTGTCAACCAGGTCCTAAAGATAATACCAGCTTCAAGTATATACTGCTTATTTAAGAAGGTACAAATCTTCTAAAGTTAGGCTAAGTCTTTAGGGAGTTTACCAATCTGGTAAAAGTTTTCATTCAAGTGTTTTTACTAGAAATAAGATTGATGAGTATCACTAACAGTCATAGAAGGCTATGCTTGAGGGGAATCATATTGGAATTCTTGGTATAGATTTTCAACTTGTAGTCCTCCTACTAACTATGGATCAGAAGTAAAAAACCCACTGGCTAAGGAAAAATATCCTGTTCACCTTGTTTGTTTTTATTAAAAAACAAGAAGCAAATCTTTATTTATCTGTAGGGGTTGTTAGAACCTGTTTGGCTGCCAAGAGAAGATGATTTCAATACTAAAAATGATTGGAGTATCTTGTAACCTTTATCATGGTTGGATGGATTCTTTCTTTTGAAATATAGGAAGAAGGTATCCTATATTCATCTGCATCAGAAATATATGACTTACGATGAATCCCATGTTCTTATAGAATAGAAAAAATGCATTCAGCTATGTGAGGTGATCAATAGAAGCTTGTTTATCAATCTTGTTCAACATGTTTTGTGTCATCCAATCAGAGTTGTTGAGATATGTGCTACCCAAAATTTTAGGATCAAGCTGGGGTAGGCAAAATTCTCTAAAGAATTATGAAAAAAATAGTTCTAAGAGATCAAAGGCCAGTCAAAGGGTAGAAATAAGTTCTTTAATTGGGATAGAACCTTTGTCATCTTCATCATAACTGAAAGGTGAGGGTATTTCATTGTTGGTCCTTTTTCCTTTAAGAACTTTCTTGCCATAGGTAGTAAAGATAAGAGCTAAACTTTGCAGATCACAAAAGTTTAGTGTTTCAAAAAAGATTGTAAACAAAAAAAGGGGGAGAAGGAAGGAAAGTCCTGAAGGAACTCTTTAAGTTGTTTTAAAGAAAGTGTCAAGACTTTATTAGTATAAAAGTATTAAAACTTCTTGTGAATATTTTTTTTATATGTATGTGGTTAGAGGATTAGTGAAAAGATTGTGAATTATGATTTTTTTAGAATATTAAAAAACTTATTTTTTAAATTAATATATAGATTTAATTATTATATCTTTTATAATAATATTATATTAAAAAAATTTATTTAATTAAAATAAAAAAAATCTTTTTTATAACTTTACTTAATTAAAATAAAAGCTTGAAATTTTTTAGGTTTCTTTTTCGAAAAGTTTTTTTCTTATTTGAAATATATAATAAAAAATTAAAATCAACATTATTTAAATTTTTATCTATTTTTGATATTATAATTGTTTTGCTTGAAAATTTGTTCAATCAAAAAAGAATTTTTTTATAAACTTTTTCTATTTTTATTATCAATAAAATTATTAAATATATTATTGTAACTACCAAAGATTTTGTTTATATTTTATATATTAATAATAATATTAAAAATGTAAAATAAAAGTATATAATATATAAAAACTTCTACTCTTTTTGCTAATCCTCTAATCATACACAAAAAAGATGTTTACAAGAAGTTTTATACTTTCTTGCTAATAAATTCTTTATACTTTCATTAAAACAACTTGAAGCTTGTCTTTACTTATCTCTCTTACCTTCTTTTACTTATTTATAAACTCTTTTAAATAAAAACTTGAGCCTTTAGTGGCCTGAAAAGGCTCAAGTATGCATATCCTCTATTAAAGACAAGAAGGTTCTAGAAATTAAAAGGATTGACAAGTGGAGTATTATCTTATAGAGCTAGAAGTGACAAGAAATAAAGATTCTGTTAACAGGAAAAGGTTTATTATTTAACTTCTCACATACTGTTTTATACCTTCTTAAAGTATCTACTGTTTTTCATGGTTTTCTTAAGAAATTTTGTCTACTTCAATTTGACCTTGAATTTCTAGTAGCATAATATTGCTTGGCATCTGATTGGTTGACAAGAATATGTAGTAGTTGAATGTAAACAAACTTCTACTGATTATTTCATGTGTTCTAATAATATTATTAGTGATTAAAAAAGTTGATTAATGTTCTGTGTCTGCTCTACTTTTTCAATTGGGTTGGCCTATATAACAAGTTTTATGAGATCAATAAAATATAAGCAACAAGTCTCCAGGTGATAAAAAAGCTACCATTTGTTCAAGTTAGATCTTTCTTTACTATTATTATGATTAAGCAAAGTTTAAGATCAAGATCTCTCTCTTATTCCAATTAGGCAATAAGACTGAATGGTTTCGAGTTCATATTAAGCTCCAACCTTTTAATTATAGTTTGAGAATACATTTCTTTAAAAGTTATTGAAGAATATCACAATCGACAAGAATTCACATCTCTTTCAAGACCCTTTCACTATTATAAAGCAAAAAAATTATTGGAGAATCTGACCTTTTGGATAATGGAAGATGTATATCAATAAAATTTCTTTAAATAGACATGACTACTAGAAGGTATTATACTGAAACAATATGATTCAGTTCTTACTAGATTATATAAGAACCTGGGGTCTATCATAAGTTACCCTTTTACTATAGGTGAATAAAAAATCACTATTTTAAGAAGATTGGGATCAAGTGTGTCCTGGAAGTAAAGGCTCTCACTAGGCTATAAGTCTTCTCAGATAATACACAAGAAGGAAATCAAGATCAAGAATAGATAAGTTTTTTAGATGATCAAGAAAAGAAAAGATATTTCAATTGAGTATTTCTTATTGAGAAGAAATCTTAAGAAACAAGTCTTTGAAGAAAGTTAAAAAATTTTTTTCAATTTTTTATCTTTTCATTTTCTTGTTGTCTATTTAGTCATTTTTAGATATCTCTTTTCTTTTTTTTTCAATCTATTCTTTTATAGTTTCCTGTATTCCAGTGATTTAATATGATATATAGTGGTGACAACCTGCTGGCAATAATGCAATGGACTAGGAGGGTTTTCATCCAAAGACATTATGAAGTGAAATATTGTTTCCAAGGTTGAATTTGGAGGCTCTTATGCTTACAACAAGTTAGATTAGAATAATAGTTTAGCTATAGTATGTATGATGCTGCTTGAATAAAAATGTACTTATGTTTTCAATTGATTAATAAATTGACAATCTAGCCTGGCTATGGTACTCAAAAAAAAATATAAATAAAAGTATATGATATATTTTAAATTTTGATTTAATTTATTGAATAATTGATTAATAAAAATTAAAAATGATTTTAATATACAGTATAAACATTTATATCATTTAATTGAATCAAATTTAATTTTTTAAAATATTGAATGCCGATCTTAATTTGCAATTAGGAAATCTTTAATTAATAAATCACATGGATATAATTGATTTGATTTGTTTCAAATTTGAATTTGATATTTATTTTAAAATCAAATGCATTCAAGTTTTACTTACAATATTTGCCTATTATGTTTTGGCTATTAATATACTGCATGTGAAGAATCACTTTCTTTGGAATTCTATTAATGACAGGATTGCTATATCACAAATAATAATAAACTTGGGAGATCAGGAACTCGGTTATGTACTCACTAAAAAAAATCGTGACATGCGAATGCTCATCCCTCAAAGATCCTCTGATCAATTGAAATTCCGAAATTTTCTTCCAGTGATCGTTTCATCTGGTCATCCAGCAATTCCTCGAATCCTCGTGCGTTCCCTCCATTCCCATTCCACAACCAACATCCAATCTTCTCCCTCGCTCTGTTCAAGTAGAACCCCAAGGATATGATGAATAATGTTCCATGGAACAGCAGGTAATTAAATCTACTTATTAACGTGAAGCTAAGCTGTTCGAGTAACGACGAAAATTTCGGAATTTCAATTGATCAGAGGATCTTTGAGGGATGAGCATTCGCATGTCACGATTTTTTAGGTTTCTTTTTCGAAAAGTTTTTTTCTTATTTG